GCCCCGTTTCCCTTCCCCGTCCAGGGCAGCGGGGGCTTGCCGCGCTACGAGGAGCTGAAGGAAGAGCAAGAATTGGGCTCCCCGGGCTCGGCCATGGCGCTCCGCTCCACCGTGATCCCGATGCACTCGTCGCCGCAGGTCTACGTGGTGCCTCCCCGCGACCACCTCGCCTGGTCGCTCTTCACCACCCTCTACTTGAACTTCTGCTGCCTCGGCTTCATGGCCTTGGTCTTTTCCATCAAGGTGAGGGCCCCGATCCGCTTCCCGAGGAGGAGCCCCTCTCGACCCGGCCGGGGGGGGCGGGGGGGGAGGCTTGGTGCGAATAAGCATTCCTCAGGTTGCCGCCTGATCCATGGGGGGTGCGGATTGGGGCGCCGAAGAGGGAGACGTGGCTCGGGCCCCTGACTTTCGCAAGGGAACCTCCCCAGAAGCCCTCCACCACCGTGGCCGGCGCGTGTTAGGGTGCCCCCGTGCCTTTGGGGGTGTGGGCCTGCCTGGCGGTGGCCACCACCTGGCGTGGGAAGGAAAGAGGGTTGCCTACAATAAGGATTTGACACCGTTTCTTCACGGGGTTCCGGAGCGGAGTTTTGGGGCTTCGGGTTCAAATCAGAGACAGCGGGAGGAACCGCGCGAGTGGGCCGGGGGGGGGCGCGGCAGGCGCAGGGTTTGCAAACACTGTGGATGGAGGTCGCTCTGCTCTGACTTTCGCTCAGCCCAATCTGCAAAGGAAGGGCAAGGGCACTCTGCACTGTCCTCAGGCAGTCTCCCTCTCCCCTGCCCATTTAATGCCAGTCGTCTGACTTGTTCACTTCCAAGGTGGAAATAAAATGTTTCTCACAAGAAAAGAAGGATAGCTCCCCCCAAGAGGAGGGGAGTGTGGTCTTCCTCCATTTTCCCTCCCCCCCACCCCGTTCCTTCATTATCAGCAGACCTCCTTCTGGCTTCGAAAGGAGGAAAGTTGCCAAAGGAGGAGGGTGCTAAACTTCCTTTTCCTGAACTGTTGCTCACCACTTTTTTGCTGTCTAAAATAAAACAAAGCATGGTTGTGGCTACCCCACACTGTTCAGCATGGCCCTTTTTGCTGTAATGTTGTTGCAATTTATGGCAACCTGATGAATGAGCACTCTCCAAAGTGTCCTGTCCTCAGCTCCTCAGCTCTGCTCTTGTAAACCCAATGCTATGGCTTCCTTGATGGAGTCAATCCACTCCATGGTATGACTCATTTCTCGCTGCCTTCAACATTTCCCAGCATTATTGTTTTTTCCAGAGAATCCTGCCTTCTCATGATGTGCTCAAAGCAGGACAGCCTCTTTTTCGTCATTTTTGTCTCCAGAGATAGTTCAGGCTTGCTTTGGTCTAGGATTTATTTGTTCCTCTTTCTGGCAGTCCAAGGTATCCTCAAAGCTCTCCTCCAGAACCACATTTCAAACAAATCAACTTTTCCCATGTCAGCTTTCTTTACTGTTTATTGGTTAAAAAGGTTCCCCTTGACATTTAGTCCAGTCGTGTCCGACTCTAGGGCGCATTTCCCATCCCCGTCTCCAAGCCGTAGAGCCAGCGTCTGTCTGAAGACAGTTTCCGTGGCCATGTGGCCAACGTGACTAGACACGGAATGCAATTACCTCCCCACCGAGGTGGTACCTATTTATCTACTTGCATTTTTACATGCTTTTGAACTGCTAGGTTGGCAGGAGCTGGGAGAAGCAACGGGAGCTCACTCTGTCGTGTGGATTTGATCGTACAACTGATGGTCTTCTGACCCTGCAGCACAGGGGCTTCTGCGGTTTAACCCACAGCACCACCACGTTTATTGGTTACTTCCATCAATTTTAACTCATATTCATCTGAATCTAGTCTGTCTTATTATATTTATTATAGTGTAACAGGGGCGGGCAACCCAAAGGATCGACCCTAGCAGAAAGCTGCAGCCTAGCTCTCTATGGGATAGTTCTTGGCTGTGTGAACTTGCTCTTTGACCAAAGTTGATGAAGTAAACAGGAGCTCTTGTGATTCCACAATACTGATGTGCTTTGTTTGTAGCAGAGAGAAATCCTGTGGGTAGCTTTTTATTTGAAGAGGAGTCATGTTTCCCCCAACTCTTTTTTTCCATCAAGACCAGTTTACACATGCATAGAACTTCACTTTACAAGGGAATGTTTTTATGGCAGGGCAGCTAAACATTTGAAATGACTAAATAAAAAAGGAATGCTGCATTCTCATAGTGTTTGATAATATCCATGGAGGGTTCACACATGCAAGTGAACATTTGAGGGAGCTGTTATCAAGCAGCAAACATATAAATCCTCAGCAGCCCTCAGATGAGATCTTGTCTGCAGGTGTAATTCAGAGAAACAAGATCTGTGAATGGATCTTTCTCTCCATTAAATGAGGTATCCTTCCTACACTTGACTCTTGTGCTCATTAGTTTAGGATTTCAGTAGTCTTGAGTTGTGTCAAGCCCTATAAAATTGGACTGCACATTGTCCAGTCACAACCACCACCAGATAAATTCTAAATCACATCCTGCCATGTATTTCTTTCTGCAACATTCAGGTGCTCTAAATACAAGTAATTCGCTATATCTGGTTTTAACCTCGCTTTCTCTTTTCAAAGTGCAGTGATTCAGTTTGTGGTGGTTTTAGGGAGCAAGACTAGTGAGGAGGTCATGAAGGCTCTGTATTTAAAACGTGCATCCTTTTCTGGATCAGACAGTAATCCAGGCAACAATCACAGTAGTACACACATACCCAGCCCTGCACTTTGGAGGGCCAACTATCACATTTCTTCACTAAATTATTTTCTTATAAAAATTTTTTTAAAAAAAGAAACTGAAAAAGATCTTTTCTCCTTTTTAATGACCTTTAAAAAAACAACAGCACAGGTATGGGGAGACTGAAAACATGGCAGGACTGCCTCTGTGCCTTCTAGACATAACAAGGGGACATAGATTTATGCAGGTTCCTATCCTTTTGCTGTACAGAGTTAAGTTCTCCCATAGTTAGGATGTGCCTTCAAAGGGGAAGTTTCTTCAGGCTCAGAAATAGTTTTTCTTGTTGATCCTTGCTGATTAAGTGACATAATATTAAAATTTTGGGCTAATCTTAATTTCTCCTGTCTACACTATAAGGTGGATGGTAGGAAGCCGTGTGGGCACTGCCTCATGAAAGGTGCCACCCCAGGGATCTTTTTGCCCCTCCCATCTGATGCTAAATCCAGGGAGATAGATCTTCTTGTTTGCTTTCTAGAGTTGATCTTTCTCTCTTCTCTCCAAACAGTCCAGGGATCGCAAAGTGATGGGTGACCACAGTGGTGCTGCCAGCTATGGGTCTACTGCCAAGTCCCTGAATGTGGTGGCTCTCGTGTTCTGTATCCTGCTCATCGTTGTCGTCATCATCCTGCTAGTTGGAGGGGTCATTACTGTCACGAATTTGAATCCATAAAACCTACTCAACTGCTGCAAAGTGATGGCTCTTTTAAGACAGTCCCTCTCCTTTGCCCACCTTCCTTTGCTTCAGACAAGCTCCCACTGAATGATCTCTTGGTGTTTGTTATGTTATTCATTTTCTGTGGAAAATTGTTTGCCAAAGAGCAACAACCCTCACTTTAACAGCCATTCCTTTTGTGTTCTGTCCACTTTTGAAGTATGTCATTTCAAATTTCGCTTTTACACATTTCATATGGCCTTTCTGCCTCCACACCCTTGACTTCAACAGCCACCTTTCCCTCCTGTTGAATACCACAGATGCCAAAAACCCTGGTGTGGTTTGCAGGGGAAGATTTAGGAGGCCCTCTTGGGGTTGATCCACATGAGAATGCAAGGACAGAAGGGTTTTCTAGCCTTCCTCTGCTTCATGCCAGCAAGTCAGTTCTCTCCAGTATTATATCTTCTGCATTCTTTTGTAACAAGAGATGATTGTAGAGCTTGGATTGGTCTGTACTACTACTCTTTAATAAATTTGTATTGAAAAGTGCGAAGTGTCTCTGTTTTATTCTTGAATGTGTTTAACACCACACCAAAAATGGGGATGGGGAACAGGGAAAGAACTGTAGCCCCCAGCTACCTCAGAAAGCATTCCAGCTCTGTGGGTAACATATTCCTGAAATGTGTGCATATGCTGCAAGGCTAGCTCCTGTGTGTAGAATTAGTGTGATGTGGCCACTTAGAGCCTTTGAAGAGACCCTACACATTCCCCCCTCCACGATCAATGCCGTAGCCATCCTCTTATTTTGCCATGGCTTTGGGAGATACGTTGGTGTCATGGGAACCAGATAAATGGTACCTGTCACATCTGTGGGCCTTTGAAGAGACCCTACACATTCCCCCCCCCACGATCGATGCTATAGCCATCCTCAGATGCCCCCTTCTCCCCACCCTGTCAGGTATCTTTCCAGCAACTACATCCATTTGGAGAGGACTTAAATGTGGCTTTAATAATATGGACAGTTTAGCTCTGACCAATGTTTTGCCATGGCTTTGGGAGACACGTTGGTGTCATGGAAACCAGTTGAATAGTACCTGCCACATCTGTGAAAACAGTTTGTCTCAGAATTCTTGTGCCCACCCGCTTAATGCTTGTGGTCATAAAACAAATAGGATCAAACAAATAGGTGAATGCAAATCTGACTTATTTTTAAGCTGGAGGTCCAGCCCTATTCTCTCCTTCAGTTTTATGATGACCTATCTCACTTGTGGCTTGTGTTACTGAAAGAGGATATTTTTGTTGCTGGATAGAGCAGAGAAGAAACCTTTTGTGCAGCACACTCAAACAAAAGGCGCGTTGGCTGTGATTCTAGAAGAAACCCATAACAGCAGTGCCTCTACTGACCTTGCTAGAGGTTTAGAGAGGAAAGGCAGACATCTTTGCGGGGTGCATTAATTCAAGGTTTCTTGTGTCCAGTGTGCGTGTGGGTTGAAGTAGGTAACTTCAAAGAACCCTTTCAGTTCTGTAAGAGGGGATACCTGTGAACTCAAAGAGAAATGGGGGCAGTTAAATTGTTCAGGGGACTGGAGCACTTTCTCTATGAGGAATATTTGGGTCAAGGGGAGTGGAGGACTAAAGGGGAAAGGATGTGCCACAAGGTTTATGAACTCATGGGTAATATGAAGGGAAATGGATGGAAAGAAATGTTCCACCCTTCTTTATAATACCAGAGGCCAACTCTTCCAGTATCTCAGATTGGTTCAGGACAAGGAGAAGGAAGCACGACTTCACAGAAAGTATAGTTCAGCCAGTGTGTTCCACGGAGAGAGGGTTTATGAATCACTGTTAGTCATGAAAGCTGTGTGTAGCCTTCATGTTTCAATACCAGTCTTAACAAATAAAAACATTTTTATCTGCTTTTATTTTCCCAGAATAAGAGAAGTGTGTCTGAAGAACCTGGCATTCCCTGGAATTGTACACTTCAATAAACGCATCGCTGTGAAGGATACAGTACTTCGTTATTGTTGGTTTTGTTGAAAAGAGCAGCCAAGTTAAAAGCAACAGAGCAAAGGTAGAGGAAGTCAAGATATATTTGGATACACTTCCTGTTATCTCTGACCGTTAGCCAGGCTGAGTGGAGCAGTGGGAGTTTGACTCCCAGCAATGTTTGGAATACCACAGATTACTTGCTCTTGCAAGGATACAGTGGAAATCAGTGTGATAGTTAAAAGCCTGTTGTTATAGAAAGCTTTTGCTATCCATAGACAGGCGAGCAGAGGAGAAGCTGAACTGAGGTTCTGCGTCAGGGTGTTCCAGAGTTTGGACACTGCCACTGAAAAGCCCCCCTCTAAGGGCTTACCTACAGTAATGATTAACCCCACAATATGCATAGGAGCTTCTAGCTGCAATCTAAAGTCATGTGACATTCACATAGTATATCAGTCGCTTTCTGCGTCTCCTTGAGATCATGGTTAAAACCTTGCATTTTTACACTACTCCTCTTGGGAATTTTTTTTTGTACATTTTAAGCTATATTTTGGGGTCTACTCAGGCTTTTAAAATCATTTCACTTGAAGCTTGCCCATTCTGCCCTTACGCTGGCCACTTGCCCCAACCATTGTGGTAAGAGGAAGGAGGGAGAGAAAGGGCTAAGTTGCATGTCCTTTTAGAAAGCCTAGCTGCTTCTGTCCCTTTAAGAATGTGCCAGCTGTTCCCATTTTTTACTCACAGAATGCAACAGAAATGGGTTCCTGGCTTTACAATGGTGCAGAAACACTGATCTGAGCATGGATCCTCCTGAATCCCCATGATTTTAACATAGGTTCTGCCTCAGAATACTGTCCAGTCTGGGCAGAGATGGTTCCTATGATTCAGATTGTTTTGAGGGATGATACTACATAAAAATGTGGATTCATGCGGATCTGTGTCTCTGGTCCATTTTTTGCCCAAAGACAGCTCTTTGCTCCTCCAGCCCTGCACTAGACTGGCTGTGTTCTCCCCCTCCTCTCAGTCTCCTTGTGCCTGCCCATCCCTCCTTCCTTCCCCCCCTCGCCATGGCTATTGTTACTGCCACTACCTCCCTACCATGTCTGCTGGATCGCAAGAGGTGGGCATGATCCAGCAGGGAGGGCGAGTGAGGAGACAAGGAGCAGGGTGTCAGAGGGTGATCAGACAGGGAGCAATTTACAATGGGAGAGGCAGGCACATTCGGCAATTCAGGGCATTAGACCCTGATTTAGCCCCGAGCTAAAATAACATTCTTCCAAATAAAATTACATCCTTCCAAGTAAAATAAATGACAATCCTTCCAAATAAAATTAACGTGAGTCCGGGAGGCAGGGGAGGGAACAAGATCCATTGTGTGTTGTGTTATCAACCTTTTTGAAACTGATGCAATTGCAGCTAGACACCGTTCATATATCAGTTCTTATACCAGTGTAATCGGGACCTTATCCTCTGATTCTGAGGTGACATGAAGGAGAGCCTCTCCTGCGTATCAGGTGTGTGAGAAAGGAAACAATGTGGGAGTTGTAGAATCTCCCAGAAGGATTGGTCTAACTCATTATAAAAACTGACATTTTGCTCAAAATCAAGGCAAGCTAAGGGTGCCCCAGAGTAGTCAAAATCTGCAAAAATAAAAATTACTGTACATGAGAAAAAGTGAACTGAAAAGCCTCTCGCTGTAAGCATGGATGTGAGTGTGAATGAATGTGATTCTGTGTCCCAAGAGACAGTTGTTTATTGATCCACTGATGCCCCTAATCCTCCTGCCTTCTGGCTGGCTTCATTATCTGCACCCATAAAATTCAGTTCTGTGTTGGTAAGATGGCAAGCTGAGGGGGGAATGCATTTCACCACTTTATTTTATTCCCAAAAAGTAAATCATCCCTTTGTCCCGTGGCACTTGATTTGTATCTGGGCCTGGTGCCACTGACCGGATCCAGCCATGGAGCTTGTCCATTCTGTTGCATTGTCTTCCAGCTCAACCAGAGCCTTTGCTGCCACGGCAATCATGTATCTTATCTCTCTCTTTTTTGCTCATTGTATCATGGAAAAGTTCAGGCTGGAAGGACTCCTCGGCCGTTTTCACTAACAGGAAGCAGTCGATAATGCTGTGTATGAAACAAACCAAAGATTTCCTTGACATCATTCCATAGGCAGGCCGTTCCACTGGTCAGTAATCCAGTCCATAGGCTATATATCTGTAGGCCAGTTCATTCCATGTGTCCACAGACCTTTTTCCCAGAGTACTCTTGTACCTAAGAGTAGGACCTGATTAACAATAATCGCTGCTTTGAATTGGCTTCAAAAACTATTTTTTAAACAGCAATGCAAATGCTGTTAGAGCAAAGCAGTCCCCTGTTCCTGATTGTCAGCAACCCGGCTACAGTGTTCTGGTCTGGTATTTTTTTCAAAGACACCCCCACAAAAGGGGCATTTTATTCTCCCACTTGAGATGTCATTAAGAAATATGTCACCATAGAACTATACTGTAGGTACAATTGTTCCAGCCTAAGCTGGGCACTCTTAGTGACAACTCACAGATGTAGATGTCCCACAGCACCACTTCCTGGGCTTATCCCTTTAGGAAGGGCTGATGCCTCCTGTCCTGTTCCCCCTCTTGGATGCACACCTTAACATGGAGTGAGGTTCTGAGTGTGTCAGGGGAGGTAAGAGCAAAACCATTAGACTATTGTGCCTTGTCGAAAGAACACAAGGCTCACTGGAAAAGAGGAATCCTGTTGCAAATCCATGAAGGCAGCAGGAAAAGAGGACGACGAAATCTGAGATGGATTCACTTGACAAAGGAAGCCATGGCCTTGGATTTGCAAAACCTGAGCAGGGCTATTAATGAAAGGACCTTTCAGAGGTCTCCAATTAATGGGTTTTCCATGAATCAGAAACAACTTGATGGCAGATAATAACAGCGACAATGATGTACATACACCATCCAATCCAGATGGATATGTGGTTAATGATATAAAGGCTGCTGAGAGATACATTTGATTTGATAGGACTGAACTCTTCCTGACCAGTTCTTT